AACTTGTTTAGTGTTGCTAACCTAAAAAATAACCAAATGACTCACTATGTTTGGATGTGTCTCAGAACTTGTTTCCAGTGACTCCACAAGCAGTCCAGAGTTCATCCAGGAGCTTCTCCCGTCGGCACAACGAACGGCTCTCCTCTATCATCTGTCTTATCTGTGTCTGGGTAAATTCCCAAAGCTGGAGCGCCTGCTCAGAGAACGAGCTCTCGAAACACAACTGCTGTTCGGATCCTCTGAGGCTGTTCTGCTGAAGGTATTCCAGTGTTCAATTTCCAACAGCTTTATCAAATCCAGACTTTGGTTCATGATACGAACACTGAAATGTCCCATCTTTACAGTGTGTAGGAACCAGCGAAAACCTTGTCAAATCGCTGCTGCCCAGTCTGAAGGTGGCTGCAGAGAAAAACAAACCAAAATTAGCACTGAAATTCCTAGAAAAAGCCAAAGAGTGGATCAGTGACATCATAATGGATGTTAAAGAAATTGTGAAGAGGTAAGAAAATGAAATCGGAAAACAATACCAAATAAAATACTTAAAAGCTGATGATTAAAATTAAATATTTTGAAATATCTGATACCTGATGCACATCCAGGTATGATGAACATAACAGAGATGTAGCCTCATCAACCAGTGACATCATCACTGAAAAGAAAGAGACCGAGGAGAAGCAGCAGCAACAAACCAGTGAGATGGAGGCACTTCAGAAGATTATTGATGGTCTGGAAGCAAACCTTCTTAACATCAGTAAAGAGATAGAAGACTATGAGAAAAAGATTGAGGAGAAAAATGAAGAGATACACAAATTTATCAGCAGCATCACCGGCACCAAGGAAGAAAAGGCGATACAGATGCCTGGTGTGACGCCCATGATGGGATCAGGTGTTGCTATATTTTCAATGATCGTGCCATTTGTGGAAAATGTTATAAGTTACATTTGCAAAATGGTGACAGCCACTTCACAGGAATCTATGATCAAAACTCTTTGTGCTGGTTTATCTGAGCTCACCGCTGCACAGCAACGTCTGAAAGAGAGAGAGTGGGAAATCCAGAACCAGCTGATGGACAATCAGCTGAAGATGGCCAAATTAAAAATTGAAAACGGTGAGACACTACCGTGTTTTCTTGTTAATATTTAAAAATCGTGTGTATTTTAGGTTTGCTCATCTGTTTACTTCTGTAACGGACATCACAGGTCAGTTGCCCAGCGTCACACACCTTGATGAAGTCCAGACGTGCCTGTCCCGAATCCAGCAAATTCTGGTTCAGCTTCAGAAGTTCTGGGAGAAAGTGTGTTCTTTGCTGGACATGCTGAAGGATAGGACCTTCGCTGGGGATGTTTGGATTGATGATCTTGAAGATCTGAAGGAACAGTTCCTGGAGTCCATCGATGCAGCTCAAGAGGTAAACCATGATGATAATGATGTTTCTAAAGTTCTGCTGTTGTTCAAACCTCTGATGCTACATTTCATTTGAACAGGGATGGACAAAGTTTGGCATCAGCTGCTCGAAAGCCGACAAAATCTTCAGCGTTCAGGCGATTGAAGCCTACAGGTTTCTGGAGATCAGTCCTTCATCTCTGTCTAAAGAAGAGTGGCAGAAAGAGTATGAGAGCGTGAAAGACAAACTACAGAAAATAAGACCAAATGCTGTCAATCCTCCAGCCATTATGCAGTGAGATCTACAAAGATGAATTACCAGGAAATATAAGTGAAATTTCTGCAGTAATGCTTCTGCTTTCTTTCATATCAACTCTGACCTGTCTTCCTTCACGTTTCACGCTGCTAATAATTTACTCAATTATTAAAATAAAAGTTTAATTAAGTGTGCACATGATGATGGACAGGAGTAGTCCCATATTCAATTAAGTCATTCAACTGTTATCTTTGAGTTAGTTATAGGCATATTTTTAAAGACCTGTAGACTTGAAAATGAACAAAGACATTTGCTTTTATTGTGTTACAATAAGGCCTAGGCAGAAATGTGTGTACATCGGGGGTCTATGAATTGTCACATTTTTAGTACAGTGGGGAAGTTGTAATTATCTGATTGGTCAGTTTGAATGTCTCACAGTCACATGGTCAAGGAAGGGATAAAATAATATTGCAACTGTTGCTCTGGCTCTTGTATTATCTGCTCTTCTTTTCCTCTGGGTCCCTTTCTTGTGTTACTCTTTCTTTGCCTCCTCTTTTCTTTGTTTCTCACTCTCTACATTCTCTCTCTTTCTATCCCTCAGGTAACATTTTACTGCTGGGTACGATTAATGGAATACGTTTTTTTATCATCTCATATATCTATTTTGTAACTAAGTGTAACCATAATCAGATATTGCCATTAAACCCTTTCAATTACAAATGATGTGCTAACTAGTTTTTGTTTGGCATTAAGATTAATGTGCTACCTATTGCAATACAATATCATCACACTATAGCAATGCTCTCCCACATATTTTGCTGTTTATTTTTGTCATTGGTGTAAGTAGCAGTGGGTGGTAATAGGCAAGGCATGTACAGTTTTCTATGATCTATGATTTCTTCTGATAACGTTTCTTTAGTCATCCGGCAGTCCTACAGAGTCTTTAAGTAATCTCCCACCACACAAGTGTAATCCAGTTTTGAGAGTTGGGTAACTCTCCCACTCTTTACTGTAGATACAACTTACTGTATATTTTTGCCACTTTGGCGTAGCAATCACTTGAACATAAAGCTACAAGTTATCGCACTAAAAAACCGTCACACATGAATGATCACGTCTGCCTGCTGATCGCTGATTGGCTAAAAGTGTGCCAGCCGACTCTGCGTGAGTGGCAAGTTAAACCCTACATTATGGGGACAAAATGATGGCAATATCCAAGATTTGTCACACACTTTTTTGGTGTTTAGAGTGCGATAAGAGCGTTTATCACTGGCTTAGAAACGAGTTGTTTCTCATTATGTCGGGAATGCTAACCCCATGCAGCGAATATATTTCAGAACATGAACAGTGGCATATATAGGTCGCCCCCCCCCCCCCCCCCCCCCCCCCCTCACTTAAAATTTGTAAGGAGTTGTCTCCGTCACTATATGTTTACTTTCCTCTTTTTGCCTGATTTTTGTTTAAACATTGTACACTGCAGCATCGCGATTCAAAGATGCTGCGTCTCGTCGGCGAATCCACTCTCCCTCACAGCCAATTAGTGTTTTGCAATGCTACTAGACAACCAATCAATTAATGCAAAATAGGTGCACGAAATAGCGCAGACGTAGTGCATGGGCACAATTGTAAAATAATAATAATAATTTCAGGATCTTCGAGGGCCCCTCGTACTTCAGGTCCCTATGAACTCTTGTCACCCTTTCCCTCCACTTATGGCTCCCTCTACAAGTGTTCAATGATTTATTGATGACAGTGGATTCTGGTGATTCAGCAGTGTTAGTTTTGTTAGATTTAACCGCGGCCTTTGATACAATTGATCACACGGTGCTGCCATCGCGGCTATAGGAATATGTAGGGATTCAGGGGAAGGCCCTAAATTGGTCATACCTGACTGCTAGAAGCATGGCAGTGAGATTCGGCCAGTATACATCAAGATCTACATCACTTATATGTGGTGTGCCACAAGGCTCTATCCTGGCCCCAACACTTTTTTCGCTTTATATGCTCCCGTTGGGAGATATTTTTAGGAGGTACGACATTGCATTTCATTGCTATGCAGATGACTTGCAAATATATTTACCATTAATAAACGGAAGTAACCTGGAGCCTCTAATGTCCTGCCTGTCTGATCTTAAATCACGGCTGGCTTCTAATTTTTTATATCTTAATGAAAGTAAGACTGAGGTTGTAGTGTTCGGCCCCAGAGGAACCAGCGGCGCAGCAGAGTTAAATTTCGGCCCACTTTCAATATATGTTAAAGACCGGGTTAAAAACTTGGGTGTTTATATTGATAGCTCCCTGAAGCTGAATGCACAGATAAATCATGTGGTAAAGACAAGTTTCTTTCATTTGAGAAACTTGGCTAAGATGAAATCATGTCTGACGTATAAGAGCCTTGAAATTGCAATTCATGTTTTTATATCATCAAGACTTGATTATTGTAACTCTCTATATAAGGGTATTAGTCAAGCATCCATTCTACGTCTGCAAAAGGTTCAAAACGCGGCAGCGAGATTATTATTGAATATTAAAAAACGTGAACACATCACTCCATCTTTGATCTCTCTACATTGGCTTCCTGTACAATATAGGATTGATTTTAAACTTCTTTTATTGGTGTATAAATCACTCCATGACCTTACACCGACTTATTTATCAGCTCTGTTAATGGAGTATCAGTCAGGAAGAACTTTGAGATCATCAACTCAAAAGTTGATGAAAAAACCAAGGACCAAGTTAAGCCAGAAAGGGGATTGTGCTTTTTTCAGTAGTAGCGCCAAGACTTTGGAATAGCTTTGGAATGCTGACTCTGTACATGTTGTTAAAGTACAACTTAAGACATATTTGTTTGCCATGGCCTAATCGTCCTTTTGATGGAATTTTTTTTTAATGATTTAATTTTGTTTTATTCTATTACTATTTTTTTTTTTATTTTTTTTTAAACATTGAGAACAATACAATAGCCAGATTTACATTACCTCATGGTTACAGTTCCAGTCTGTGATCTAGACCAAAGTTCTCCATTCCCAACATTCCCAGTTTTGTAAATATAATAAGAACACATTAGAACACAAAACAAGGGGTGCATTACTATAAGACATATCTCGAATACATATAGAAACAAAAGACCACAATATAATTATTTTGTTAATAAAACAACATTTTTCATGGCTCACATTATGATATTATGACACATTATTTATTTATTTCCAGTTAAGAACGAGACTCTCATAACCAGTTTAGCTCAATTTAATCTCTAGCTGAAAGATAGACTATATGACATGCTTAATGTTTGGTGAGTTGACAAAAAAATAAAAATTGTAGGTGACAGATGAAAATAAAGAGAAATCTGAAACAGTACTTTCAACATAGTTGCATCAGAGGAGCCGAACAGAAGCTGTGTTTCCACCGCCCGACTCCTGATGATTCTCTCCAGGTTGGTGAACTTGCCCAGGCACAGGTAAGAGAGATGGTAGAGAAGCGCTGTCTTTTGGGCAGCCGGGAGAAGCTCTTGTGTAAACTCCGGGCTCCACAGGCACACAGCCACTGGTGGAAAAACATTGTATATTTTCAAACACTGAAAATATCACACCGATGGCTGGTATTGTTTTCAAATCTGTTTGATGAAATAAGATAATACTTGCTTTTGCTATCAGCCATTCTTAGTAGGTTTACACAAATTTGTGCGACGAGTTTCTCCTGAAGCAGAACAGTTTTGTTTGGTAAAACTGGCTTACCTTTGCTTTAGCAAGTGATATGGAGAACAAGATATCTGGTGCTTTTATACTAAAGCTTTGACGACCCTGCCTCCACCCTCAGGGAGAATAACTCCCTAAGAAACTGAATTTGAACTTCCGCTTTTGGGGCCGCTTGAGTCATTTATGTGGTTCATATGTTCAATAAGTGGTTTTGTTAACGGTAAGCACGATTGCATACAATCTACTGGCAATCTAATAACCATATCAATCTTGACCACAGTTTGAATTAACTCACTAGTACACAGCTTAAATATGCGACCCTGGATCACAAAACCAGTCACGAGTCGCACGTGTATATTTGTGGCAATAGCCAACATTGTATGGATCAAAATTTCAAAAAATATTTTATGCCAAAAATCATTAGGATATTTGGTAAAGATAATGTTCCTTGAAGATATTTGGAAATTTCCTACCATAAATTAAAAAAACAAACATTTTTTTTTGTGTGTGTGAGTGAATGAATGCAGCAAAATCATGAACATAAATGCACAACTCTAAAGGTGATTTTCTCAATGTTTAGATTTTTTGCATCCTCAGATTCCAGAGTTTCAAATAGTTGTATATCAGCCAAATATTGTCCTATTATAATAAACCATACATCAATGGAAAGCTTATTTGTTCAGCTTCCATACGATGTATAAATCTCAATTAAAGAAAATTACCCATGTGACTGGTTTAACTGGTTTCAGTCTCACAAAACACTATTATGGTAATGTACAAGTAAGATGAGAAACACTCCTGAAACTTTAACTAATAAAGGTCCTTTCAAATGATTCCAAAGTGGCCCTAATATATAATATCCAAACCATGTGTCCCACTCAGAGGAGAAAAGACCCGGATCCTCATTAAGTTTAGCTGACCGTTCGTTCAGAACTTTAGCTGAATTGTACACTGCTCTTCCAGTGTTGTCTGGGATATGTGACCCTGGACCACAAAACCAGTCACGTGTAAATTTTTTCGGAAATTGAGCTGAATATATCAATGAAAAGCCTATTTGTTCAGCTTTCAGTTGATGTATGGTTTGTTAAGATATGACAATATTTGGCCGGGATACAACTATGAAAATCTGGAATCTGAGGGTGCAAAAAAAAAAAAAAAAATCGAAACATTGAGAAAATCTCCTTTAAAGTTGTGAATTTATGTTCACGATTGTGCTGCATTCACTCACAAAAATAAATGTTTTATATATAGTTATGGTAGAAAATGTACAAAATATCTTCATGGAACATGATCTTTACTTAATATCCTAATGATTTTTGGCATAAAAGAAAAATCGATAATTTTGACCCATACAATGTATTGTCGGCTATTGCCACAGATTCACCCGTGCGACTCGAGAAGTGATTCAGGGTCACATATGAACAACACTCAGTTGCAATCACTTTCCACGTTCCTCCTGAGGCTAACAGTTGATCAAGAGTCATTCGATTTTGTAAAACAACTTTCCTCATTTCATGCACTTCCTCTGAAAAGAAACTTCTTTAGAAGTAAGTGTAGTTTTAGCTGTGGCCTCAAACGCCTCATGTAGTGCCGGTTCTTCATTCTGTAAATCGCTTACTCCTAAAAATTGTAAAAATCGTCCCAACCATTTTTCAGTTTCAGAGATTGAACGCTTTGTATGTGTCTTGATTAAATTGTTTCACATAATCCTCTGATATACTATAACTATACTATACAATAAATAATCATCCAGAATTATAGCCACGTTAATAACGTTTGTAAGAAACCAAACCGTTTGTAAATCCGTCAAGATTTCAATGAGATAAGAGTATTTGTGTTTGTGCTGATCACTCATCTTACATCAGGCACCACAGAGCCCGCCAGAAAGCTTGCCTGTGACAAGATGGCCGCCGGTGATGACGATAGAGACTCCGCCTTTATTATGGATATTGGTTGTTACCATAAACAAGATGTGTGCCATTAGGAGCAATGAGTGTTTCGTTTGTCATTGTTAGAATAGTTTTGTCACATTTGGAAAATTTGAAATGCTTTTCATGCAATTTCTTTCAATACATCAGGAAGAATTCCCTTCAGATTTAACATTAAGAGCAAACTGAGAGTTAGAATCACTGTTGAATGCTGGTAAATGCCATGAAGTATAATGTGGATGAGAACCATTTCTGTCGTGGCATACACTGCTTGTAAACAGCAGAAATCAACTACCTTAAACACACATCTGTAAGGATTTGATGTCACCAACGTTTTAAAAATTTATTTTTGGCACCAGCGTGACCCTGTGATCCGGTATTAATCAGTGCGGAAACCAACCAGGTAAGAAAAGCCTCATGTTAATTTGGTACATATATCCTTCAGTGTGATAGTTGAGAATTGTCCACAGGCCTTGCTTTAATTTAGATACAGGCTAAAATCCTGTATGACATAAATGAATAATAAAATGATAAATGATTATAAAACTGTACATATGATTGATCACAGGTTGCTATTATACCCACAAGAGCGGCATTTCGGTCCAGATGAAAAACACCCTGATGTACATTCAAAAATGTTGTCAAAACGAATGAAACTAACCGTACATGAATACAAAAGATGATGACTTTTACTGCTGGAGATAACTATGATTTTTAAGAATCTTCTGAAATTTGGGTACGATTGTAACTGTCATGGGTAGTTTTGTTTTTTGTATTCATGTTCCTGGTTGTCTTGTTCTGATTGGTTAGTTGTCTTGTTTTTGCACAGGTGTCCCTTGTCTAGTGATTAGTCCTTGTGTGTATTTAAGCCCTCATGTTTGCCATGTTCCCTTGTCTAGTATTGTCCCTGTACCACTGTTGGTGAGGTTATGTCCTGTGTTTTTACGCTACGCTAAGCAATGTCAAGCCAAGTCTTTGTTTTTGTGTTTAGTCCATGCTTATGTTAATAAACTGCACTTGGGTTCTTCTGCAAACTTGCCTCCAGTGGATTATTACAGCTGAAAGTATATTTTAAAAATACATTATTTAAAATCTTTAAGTTGTAGTATATTTAAGGGGATATTTGAGTATATATTATAAGCTTACTTACTCATGCTACTTCATTACTTTGACATTTCTTTCAGAAAGTGTTAAAATGTATAATGTGTTAAGCCAATTTTGAACATTTTTAAATGTATGCAGTGTACAATTGGCTATTGTGATTCAAGTCTAAATAATGTTTAATAAGTTTATACGTGCAGAGAAGAATCATGTAACATAATAGATTTCTAAACCGTACCGTACGGTTTTTCAATCCGTAGCCACATATTTCATAATCCGTGCACACTTTTACAATCTGTTGTTTTGTAATATTCAGTTCCTGTGAAAATTTGTGAAAAACTGTTCCAGTAGGTGAAATTTTCACAAGACCTGATTACACAACAATAGTGCTATTAGATTATGAATGTGTGGTTACGCATTAATATTTGGATGTAATATTCAGTTCCTGTGAAAAACTGTTCCAGGTAATGGAGTATAATCAGGTGATGCCTAATAATCAGTGCCAGTGAACTCGACCCACTGGAACAGTTTCTACAGGAACTGAATATTACACAACATGTTCAGTTTTCCAAACTGTACTTTAGGAAACTGTAACTGTTCATTTTAGAAATCTAGTCAAGAACAAGAACAAGATCCCAGTTCTGTTAACAAATCTTTCTGTGTATTGTTTTATTTGTGTATTGTTAAGATGAATACAGCTGTCTCTACTGAATTTTGGGGTGAAAGACAATGATTTATTAAGAGTTGTGTGCATCATAATATTGTCCATGTATTTATCTGTGATATTCTAACCGCTCTCACTTTTCATAGACAGGGGTTGGTGTGGGCTACTGTAAATACAAAATACATTTTGCCAGCACTTTTACAAGCCAAACGCACTTTTACTTTTACATATGCCTCAGAATCAATCGTCGACCGGCAAAACTCTGTTATTTTAGATTTTTTTTTTGTTGAAAACCTAGTTTTGAGAACTAGTTCATAGTTTTTGTCCAGATTGGAACCAAACCAGTGCAGCAAGATTCCCTGGCGTCTGATTGTCAATTAACAAATGTGTTTTTTTCTAAGGGCCACCAATAATGTTCAAAGTGGGAGGAGCTACTTTTACTAAAATGGATATAACTTGTGAACGGAATGAGATATTTTCCCCAAACTTGGCACACATAAGCAAGAGCTCATTCTGTGGTCGTGTGAAAAAGCACGCGGTGACTGGCCACTTGGTGGCGCTATTACATGGAAAAAAGAAATGGCTATACAGTAGCTACACAATTCTAAGTCTTATTGACTTGAAAATTGGTAAGCAGTGTCTTCGTCAAAGGTGCCAAGACTGCCTTTGAGGACATTCGCGTATCTTGAAAAACACGCCAATGAAGTTTTAGCAGCTCTCAGACACGGTTAACAGAGGCCGATCGGAATGAACTCGCTGGGCCTGTGAGAAATACATGCGTAAAGGATTGTATACCACGCAGTATTTGGCACACACCTACAACGTACTGCATGGTAGAACTCCTCACTCTGAGCAACTTTGCCTAATCGTTCATTAAATATTGGAGATTATTATTATTTCAAATAACTTTTTTGGCTCAAAAGTCCTATTTTGGCTCAACCTCTATATAAAACCACTGCGGCACAATTCTAAGGACTCTTTATGTCAATTACCCCCCGCCCCCCCCAATTTTTTTTTACTTTGGCCTTTGGATAGCTATAGCTGGGTCATATAGAAAATACTTTGCATCATTAGGGGAGCAAATGCATCACATGATTCTAAAGGAGCAAGGAAACTTTCATGGACATCGGGTGGTCATCGATTGTTTTTTTATTTCTTATGCATATCAGTCTCTGATGCAGAAAAG